CTTGAGGAGATTGTATAACTGCTTTGGAAGGCTCCCTCGTGCGCACGTAGGTCATATGCCTGAGACAACAAAGACTCAGCTGAAAATGAAGGGGGAAGGGAGGCCGGAAAAGAAACCTCGGGTAACACTGATCACTGGCTGCAGAGGAATCTGCCTGCAACCTGCCTGGCATCCTGGCTTCAGTGCCTTTGCTTCCTCCATTTACTGACCCTCTTCCCCACTTCTTGCTCTCTGCTTATCCAAACCCTAGAGATCTTTCAAGGCTCAGTTTAAATACCACCAGCTCTCCGAATCACCAAATAAGAGAATTAGACCAATTGGCCTGTGAAGTCTTCCAATACTGAAGATCTTTGATTCTAAGCCTTCCCTAGCCTCCTTACCAAGGCTACAGTGATTTTGCATTTTCGTTTTATCTTTTCATTTCTCTAAATTTTATTTCTCCAAGTAAGCTCTCGCACTCCTACATTCCCCCCACCCGCACCAAACTTAGCATAGAGCCAGGCACCTAGGAGGCACTTACTCAATATTTGGTAAGGATAATGATGAAAAAGAACTCAAGACTCAGATGTGGGACTTTCAAGTTCAACAGCCAGTCAGTGATACAGTTACATATCATTGATACAGTTAGGCTTCTCAAGCAGATTGTTTCCACTGATGTCACTAGCTATGCAAATGCCATGAGTGACAAATAACAGGTCAACTTCAAGGATCAGGCGCAAGGGAGAGAAAAGGTTTGTCCAGGGGAAGCTACTACGTTTTTCTGGGGAGGGGAACATTTTGGAGAAAAGAGCTGTCTTAGTTCTGACCCTAACTCTCTGACATCTCCCCCTCAGCCTGTAGCCTCAAAATCCTTTTCTGTAGTCTTGTACCCTTCAAGCTACTGCCATCTCCTTTTCCTTCACCGCCATTTTTTAAAATTTTTAAACATTAAAGTAATAATGAAAACTTGGGAAATATAGGAGAGATGGAGCAAAGTTTAAAAATCACCCATAATTCCAGCACACACAACCACCTATTAAATTTAGGGCTTTTTTCCAGTCTTTTTATTCTTTCTGCATAAAACTTTATACCACCCACCCCAAGATATTTAGAAGTTTTAGTAGATTAGGTATGCTGAGGTGGGCTATTGCCAAGAAACATAGCTGACTGGCTATCAAGAGGCTGGTTGGAGGTGTCATAAAGCAAAAATGGCAGTGTGGTGAAATTAAAATTAAAAAGCTTTTATCAAGGGGTAAGGTAATTTCCAAATTGGGAATCACAAAGTCCAGAGGATTCTGAACTAAGTGATCCAAGGAGGAGACAGTTCAGAAATTTTATATAGAAAAATATGAGAAAATTCGGTAAATATTCAGTGACTGATTGACATTTAGGTAGGAACTCTGGTGGCCTAGTGCCTAAGGCATCTGACTACTAACCAGAAGATTGGTGGTTCAAACCCACTAGCCGTATGATTGGTAGGCAATAACATATGTTTCTAAAGTTGTTTCTTAAAGATTACAAAGTAATCATTAAATTGGGTCCATCTGGCCTTCCAACAATCCCCAGACCTTCCTAGGAGGTGTGCTTAATTCTAAAGTTTGTTTTAAGTAAGCATCTGTTCTGAGAATTCTTTTGGACCTGGCTTCCTAGGCAGCAGACAAAATCTGTAAGCAAACAAAATTACCACTGTTTTCTGAAATTGTTTACCAAGTAATTTTCTCAGGGTACAGTGGAGAGTTACAGGAATGACAGGCTATATTCCTGATGCAGAGGTTACTTTGATTCAAAATGGTGTTTTATCCTTAGACCTTAATATATCCACTATCTCATGTCAGAGGGCCTCAGTTAACTTGGGGTACTCTTACTCAGAAGAGTAAGAGTTATTTTATTTCATCCTTGGTCCAGACTGCGCCTTCAGTCTTGAAGTTTCAGAAACTTGATCTCCTTGGTGTCCCAGAGTTGGACAGAGTCAGGAGGCTGACTCATGCTGATTATCTCACAAGAGACTGCTGTATGAAAACCAGGATGCTGGCAGATAAGAAATGGAAATGTGGCACAGTTTATATTGGTCCAACTAACCCATTCCCTCCTTTTAATAATATGTAAGCTTCACATGTCCCAGGTGTAATTTTGTTTTATACAATAACCCTATGAAGTAGATATTATTTTCCTCATTTCAGAGATGGAGAAACTAAGGCATAAAGAGATTACATAACCTGCTTAAAATCATAGAGCCTGACAAGGCTACTCTGTCTATGTTGGGCTCACAGACTGTCCCTTTTCCATGCTTCCAGGGCTCACCGAGACTCTCTTTATTTAAATGTGCCAAAATTTTCCACCAGGTTATAGTCAAGTCTTT